GGCGATGGTGATGGTTGCAGCTATTCTTTTGATGGTACTGATGATGAAGACAACGGCGACAATGATGATGTTGAGCATGATGTCAAAGATGATCTGATTGTCGACTCCCGTCGCCGTCTAGAGCAGTACAACATCATGAGCAGTACCACCCACCGGTGCCACTGCAAGAAGCAAGATAAAGAGTAACACATAAGAACTACAAGAACGGCAGACGCCGGCCTCACGAGCATAGTAAATGCAGTTGTAGACATGAACGGTGGTGGAGAAGATCAGAACAAGTGCTCTTAAAAGTTTCACGTAGCAGTAGTAGTTACATCACCAATCGTGACAACAGGTCCTTGTGTTACACGTGTTACGTATTCCAATTCAGGCTCAGCTGAGGGGGGTGCAGAGCCCACCACAACAACGAAACCACAGGGCCGGGGGATGCAGGGTCAGGGGGGCAGACCATGGGGTGGGAGGGGAGGGGGCGTGTGGGAGCCCTGCATCATATATCTTGTATAACCGTACATAACTGGCACCAGCGTCATGAACTGATTTGTCATGATGCAGGATTGCTGACCCCATTGCCCACATGAATACGACAGTTTCATTGCGCACCCCAAAACACACCGTAGTCCAACAATCGGATGCCCAGGTGAAGATGTCTGGCGCCTGTAGGCTTCTGAAGCGGTGTCCTGGCACCATCAGGACGGTAACGCTTTCTCCGAGTTCATGAATGCCAAGTGACCCTGTTTGGTTTTGGGCGCTAGCCCTATCTGAGAACTGCTCCCAGGTGGATCATCGCGGCCCCACACAAGCCACACCACCGAAGCTGAGTTACGTAAGCGTCGCGATACCGCACCCCGCAGGGCTCAAACTGCGATGGGCGTTTGAAGAGTCTCGGAAATAGCCTCGACCGCCTTGGGCTTTTGCTTCTTGCGTGGCACCTCTGTCAGAGGCTCAGGGGGGCTTAGGCCAGGCGGCCAGGAACTGGCATACTTGCGCTTTCAAAGGGAGGGCAAGTTCAGGGGCTCTAAAGGTGTGTTCAGAAGCGATGTGACTGCAGCAAGGGCTTTGTTGATAATGTCAGTAAAGGACTTCACTACAGCTCTCGGTCAGAAGGTCAGGGTTGGCGCTGCCAGGCAAGACCATGACGGCCTCTATCTACCTTGTCAACATGCTCACCTGAGACGGCGAATGCCATCAAAGCGATCAGAAATAATGACACACCCGTTTCTCAACCTTCTTCGCAGCCAGGCTAACAGAAGTGATATCAAAAATTTCGAGCTGGGGCTCAACCAAATTTCACGAACCTTCTCAAATCGTTACCCAGCCTTGCTGCAACAACAAGCGCAACATCTTCGCCGTTGATGCTGTTGACCTGCCCGCATCGGTTTGTTCGTGCCTGGAGTACGATCTTTCGGAGTTGAGGCTTAGGATCTCAATGCCGGTTTGGTAGAACCGAGGTCCGTTGGGCAAACCTGGTCGACAAGATTATGCCACTGTCTAGTTTAGGATAGTATTGGGGTTCAAACCTGGACATTTGCTCTTCGCTAGAAGCCGACGACGGGCTGGGTCTCCCGCAGGCTGCAGCATCATGTCTACTACTCAGAAAGCTTCTGCGCTTCATAAGGTGCTGCACTGTAGGCCTGTTTACAGCGAAAATGAACACAAGTTGAATTTAAGCAGTCTAACGACAATCGCAGACATGCCCAGGGCACAACATCATCTTGTGACCATGCTTCAAGCTTGCATCGTGCCTTCTGGTGAGTCATCTTCGGCCCTGGGTTGGTGAATACGACAGCGACGACGATTACAACAAGAAGAAGCAGATAGATAATAGTAGTGGAAACGACCATTTGCAATCCACCCTCTGTCTCCCAAGCGACCGCCCCGAACAGATGTCAACCGGTGAAGAATCCAAGCCCGGCTGCAAAGGCCACAGGCGCAGCTCTTTCAGTCTTGACTCCTGTTGCCATCTGCTTTGAGGTCGTTCTAAGATTTTCCTGGCATGACAGCCATCTATCGTGGGAAACACGGCAGCTCCCTTTGGCTTGCGTTTCGACCCGTAAGTAACTGCAGTTTTTGTACGCCGCATCTCCACGGCACGATTTCTCATTGAATCCAGGCCGGCGCTCCAACCAAACATCACTCAATCGGTTCGCGACCCGATCGCAGACTCCGCATGCAAAACATGATTCGAACAACCATCCATACTGTGACATCAATCGTCTGCTTTGCTGGGGTGTCGGCTCTGTGTCTGGATCCACTACAACGGCGACATCGGCCTCCAAGGCAGCTCTACTTCGGAATATGAGCAGGCAGGACATGTGACTTGTTGGGACTGCTGCGTGTTTGGACTTCGGAACCTGCTGCATCGCTCAAGTCTCTACACTGCTAAACTTACCGCCGCAGAGGTGCTTGGAGCAGGGATCCCCGTGTTTGACATGGTGTGCAAGTGTAGCTCTCCCCTGCCTGGGGTTCTTCTGGGATAGTTGCTGGATGCGCATCCTGCTCCAGAAGAATACAGGAAATGCAGACTCCAAAACCCACCTTTGCTCAGTCAAATCTAAGTCTGGGTGACAGAGCCTTGCCCTGCCGAACGGTACAAAAATGAGCTCAAGACTGTTGTGTGGGCTTTCATTCTCAGGAGACCAGCTGGTTTTGCGGCTTCGAGCTGCAGTTCTGGCTCTCGGAAATCATGTTCCTCGCTGTCTACTTCCGCACATCTCACACAACTAGGCCGGCCTGTTGGATTTTGAATTCGTGTGCGGTTGCAGTGGGAGCTTTTCCGCTTTGCTTCAACGAAAGGCACTGCTGCATCGTCCCCGAAGTAGAAGCGCTAGAGCTGATTTGGAGATCGTCTGACTTCATCGAAAAGGTTCTTATCTAAAGCGAACGACTGGCTAACCTCGATCGTTTGTTTCGACGAAAAGACTCTCTCAATGATTGGTGGGCACTACATGCTAACCCCTAGCCTGTGACAATTGAAACGAAGCTTACGACTGAAAATGCTTGAGGAAATGGTTTCCGCCCCATGCCTGTCCCGCCCTAGCACTGCAAGATTTATTGGCTAAACACCACTTCTCTGCGACCAAATACTATAATTTCAACATGTGCCTGACGACAAGGGGGGAGACGAGGAGGGGAGGCGCGAAGCCCCAATCCCTATCCTGCAAAGCCACAACGCCACCAATACCTGTCTATGCCATCTACATTTTCTAATGTAAATTTACTTATCCACCTCCTTACCATGGTTGTATGTGTAGGTACATGGATGCAAATATATATCTATGCCGAAATATCTATGTATGTATGTGTAAGTACATATTATAAAACGTGTATAGATATATATATATATGTGTGTGTGTGTACATAGAGATGTATGTACATGGATGTATGTGTGTATTTGTGTATGTATGTATGTATGTATGTATGTATGTATGTATGCATGTATGTATGTATGTATGTATGTATGCACGCATGCATGCATGTACATACATGTTTTTTGCGGTTATGTTTTCGTATGCATGTATGTATGTATGTATGTATGTATGTATGTATGCATCTACGCATGCATGCATGTATGATATAGACAGATAATATCTAGAGGTAGATACAGAGACAGGTAAAATTGTATAGTTGTTGTGCTGTTGGGATGAGGTAGTAGTACTTTTGTGTGGATTGCTGCCGGTTGGGACGGATGTGCACAAAGGACGAACAAAAACCGCATTCAGCAAGAGCTGTGTCACTGGTGCCTGGAGGCTGGTTTTCAATCTCGTTGGGGACAGGCCTCGACACCGGGGTTCTAGTGAATGCAAGACCACTGGCTTGGGACTTGTGACAGTCGGCCCGGTCAAAGCCTCTTCGCTCGCCGTGCCCTCATCCTTCTATCCAGCTCTGTCATCGTCTCAGATATGCCTCAATGCGGGGTCGCATACTCGCGCTGATCCCCTTGTATGCAGCAAAGTCGGGGCTAAGCCCGTTCACGCGGTCTGCCAGAGCAACGGCACAAGCGGGCGATTCAGCAATACAAGGCAGGGGGTCAGTGTAGGAGCGAACGGTGAAAGCAATGTGCTGCGAATCTGGCAGGCGGCGAAGCGTCTGATACTCGACCCTCAAGTACATATCGGCAGGGCCCAGGCTGTCGTCAACAGGCTCACCGGCTTTGTGGGACAAGTCTCCCTTCAAGCTCGGATCGCCCCGTGCGGAGGGATGCAGCAACTCCCCAGACCATCGGAACTCAAAGTTGGCTCTCCAGAAGCTCTTGTCGGGTCCGAGTTTGGCAAAGATCCGATCCAGAGGTCTGCGCAGGCTCTTTGCATACCCAGGGACCGGAGAGTGTATATCGGCAAGGGGGGCGCCAAGCTTGGTCAGCAGTTGGCCAAAGGAAAAGCAGACGCATGCAGAGCACATCGCAGCAGGAGTGTCGCCGTGCTGTCGCAACAGTATGAGGTCTTCCCTGACAAGCCGTGCCGCTGCCGTGATCAGAGGTCGGCTCTGAACGGGCTCCCGGACTGGTTGGCAGGCTGCAACCAAGGAGTACAGCTCCTCCTCAGCCGCTACGGTCGATGCTCGCCCATCGGAGACCCACAAGCTCTGACCGACCTGTGGATCATCAAGCACAGCTCGCTTCATCGCGATGATCTCGGCATCATCCTCATCCTTCAGCAGCCACTGGCCGGGTTCCAGCACGTTCAGACCGGGGCGCAATCGGCCATCCGGGCTGTAAGCCGGCTGGCGCGAGCTCTCCTTCAGAAGCCAGCGAGCAGACGGCGGAACCGCTGCAACGCTTCGGCGACCAGCCACCAGGTTTGCCTGGCACCTTGCAAACGCGAAACGAGCCCTTCCAGCACGCACCCCTGCAGCCGCCATTTGCCAGTTCGCACCCGCCCTTCCCGTCTCCCCGCAGCGCCGCTTGAGCCTAGACGCATGTCTGGACACCGTGATCCGAGACAATCTCTTCTAAACCTTGAATAAACACCACGGGCGAAGCTAAACTTTACGTGTGCGGGTCGTCAAGTGGACATGATCTCGTCCGTGTCTCCCCACCTGCTTCGAGGGCTCTCGACCTTCAACTTCCCTGTCAACCTGCCGCATGCTTCTTGACAAAAGCTGGTGTGAAAGCCGCATGCAAGAATGAGATGCAGAACACTTGAAAGCAGAGCACCCGAAGCTCACTCTGCTCCACAAGGCCTCTTTGGGCTGCTCCTCCATCACAGCCTCCGACACACGGAAACTCATCGGGACCAAAGGGGCCGGTACCCCATGGTGCTGCCCGACGAAGAGTTTCTTACCGCGGTTCCTATGCAACGGAAATCTGGTGCATGACTCTCCGGCTGGACCTGTCCGACATTCGCGATGAGCCTTGGGCCAGAGAGGATGCTTACGTCAACTAGATTGGACAAAGTCTGCATCATGCGGTATACGTAGAAATTACACTGTTGAGGTTGGATTTCGGGTTTAGGCGGATCTGAGGATGGCTGTTGGCCCTTCTTGGGCCGCTGGAGCCTCACAGTCGGTAAGGACCAGACACTGCTTCCGGAGATGCTTCATGGATCTCGTAGAAGCCCTGAGCCGCATGAGGCGGTCGGCTGTGGGGGTTTCAGACAGGCTTCCCAGCGGAGCAGGAACACTGGATCCCAGGAGCCATGCCATATACCAACTCTTACAGTACTTTCTGCGAGAGACCACTCTCGTAGCGGGTTCGCCCTCGGCCTTGGCCACCCAAAGAAATATCTATGCTGAACCAAGCCCCATGGTGCCGCCATACAGCCCCAAAACCCTCGATGTGCTTGCCTGCTCCTCTGGAGCCGGTGGCTCGTTGGGTGGGGGAAGGGGCGGCGGCACCTCGGCTTCGGAGGAACTCAAGAGACTTCTTGCAAACTGAACGGTTCGCGTCCGCATCATCTGCATGCCACAGACTTATGGCTTGTGGCACCTGCTGACCTGCTGAGTCCGCTGCTAAATCGTCTGAAGCTGTTACCGCCGCTACAGCTTCGGCAGCGTCGGCATGGTTGAATCTCGCGATGAAATCGTCTGCGACAGGGCGTCGTCTGCAGGAAAAGAGCCCTCTGAGCCCTTCTTAACCAGCATCCACACCTGCTTGGTTTGAATGCCCTGCTTCGGAAAGTGAGGTAAATCCGTCACTGTCCGTGCAATGAATGCTGCCGCCCCAGTACGACGAAGCTGCTCTCAGAAACAAGAATATTAAATTATGGATTGTTAAGAACAACAACTTTACGCCTCACCCTGGCCCTGCTTCCCATCTTGGCCTGGATCCGTGTGCTTTCGCGGTCTTTCGGAATCTGGACCCGGAATGCCATCCATGTCGAAGGACACCTTTGGGCATTTAGCCGGAGCAAGGGAAGCCTTGAAACTCCCAGCTGAGTCTTGCAACTTTGCGCACAACGCTCATGGAGTCCTAAAAGACGTTTCGCAAAGCCTGTCTGTCCGGCAGCTTCTGCGGCCGACTGATGTCCTCCGAAAGGTGGAGGTTGATACTCAAGAACCTACTCCACTCCTCTGTGCTGGTGCTTCATCGTTGTTGATTTTGGCCAGTTTGGTGCTGTCGACTCATACCCAGCTGATTTGGAAGCAGGATGGAACAGACTCCGGTGGCAAGCTGATCTGTACTCTCTTGATAAAAATATTCGTTCTCTGGCACATGGCCTGATGTGGGCATGTGCACCAGTCCCGGCCTAACCCCAATTGCCCAGCTGTTTGCCTCGGCATGTCGCGGGGCTGCCCTTCTGCTGGCAGCCGAGGATGATGCCTCGGAGAAAGCTTAAGCAACTAGCAGCGGTGCATCCTCAACCAAACAGCAATTAGGCCAGGAACCGGCGGAGCGTTCGTTGCGGTGGAAGCCGCTCTGTGCACGTTCCTTTCGCCTATGACCTGCATGACACTTGAGTTGAACTCGCTTCCGCATCCGCGAAATCCGAGCGATTGTACACGCACGCGCGCGTGCGTGTGTGTGTGTGTGTGTGACACTCCTGTTCCAAACAAAGGATCTAACCAAATGCAGGGGACCAGCGGACAGGCAGGTACGATGAGTGCGTGCGCTGGCCAACGAAGACCGCGCACTCATCTACCTGTCCTCTCGTGAAAACGTACCTGCAAGGAAGTGATGTAACAAACTAGCACAAACAGCATCCGTCTAAGTAAGGATGACTGGTCTACAAGTGTGTTCCCCGACAGCAATTCTGCCAAAGCGCTGTCGGACTCCTGGTCAGCGGGGGGAATCTTGAAATATCTGGAACCCCTTGAATACATCTGTCTTTTTCTAACTTATGAGCCTTCAGTCCCTGAAGACCCACATGAATGAGGCCCCAATTGCCAATGTACCATTGGAACACCCAATTGGCCTGGCAATGCCCTAAGGTATGAGCCTTGAGATTCCGGAGACTCCCATGAAGAAGACCCCGCTGATGACCTAGATTGCTGAAGCTTCCTTGGCTTTCAACACCCGGGCAGGACAGCTCCATGGAAGACCCTTGACAAAGGAGCTCAGAAGTAGCTTCATCATCATTCAATCATTAAGCATTCCTGTACCACCCCTTTCGTTTGTTGTCCTGAAGCCATGGCAAATTATCATTTTCATCTCCTACAACAAGACCGAAATTCGGTGGTCAACGAACATCGACAACGAGAAGGAGAACTTCCTTTGTGTTGTTGCGGCTGTTTTTTTCGGTCAGTCGTCGTCGTCGTCGTGTTGCTGTGTTGCTGCCGTTCGTTCGTCGTCGTCTCTGTTGCGCGTGTAGGGGTTGCGGTGTTGGCTGCTTTTCGGTCAGTCGTCGTCGTGTTGCTGTGTTGCTGCCGTTCGTTCGTCGTCGTT